TGGGATTGGATTAACAGATAGCATAGGGTCTTAACCCTATCCACTCAGAAAGTCCAGATCTGAATGTGATTCAGATCTGGAAACCTCCTAATGAGATTAAGAGAAGGCTGATCTAATCTACAGATAAGATAAGGGTTTTCCCTTATCACTTAAAATAAATTCTGATCAAAATATGATTTGGATCAGCAACTTCTAATAGGATTAGGAGCTGATCCTTTTAAGGTTATAAAATGAGAAGGGGGCGACAGCCTTTAAAACACACAAGTTCATCACCTGTCTTTAGAGATGAAATCATAGAAGAGAGAATTCAGCATATCTGTGAAAATTCTCTCTTGCCGCCTCCTTCCTGTCGCTGCCTCACATGTTAAGTTTGATCTCCAGTTCAGTGGGAGAAGTCAAGATTGGATCTTGGCATCAGTTCCTTGTGAAGGGACTGATAGGAAACTATGCTCACGTGCCATCCTACTAATTCTTGCGAAGGATTAGGTTCTTTGGAAAACACTGTTGATTCTGCTCCATCCTGCACTGCGCTATATTCAATGGGAGCAGTCTTTGGATCCTTCCTTGGGCGTGAACACTTTTGTTAGGAGATATTATTTCTCCGTATCAGGAATATCCCTCTCCTACTGCTTTTGTTCAAATCTGGTTCAGTTTATGATTCAAGATTGATCCTTGAAAAATATGATTTTTTTCTAAAATAGGGAATACGATCCCTAATAGGATGGTGATAAGTTTTTGAAATTCGCCCATTCTATTATACAAGATTCGGGCGTCCATACGATGGATATCTCATCCCTTTACTTGCAACATAAGTTTCTCTGCTACTTCCTGTAATGAAAGAAGTGAAGTGTTATTAAGAGAAATCCCCTGCCTCATCCTATTAAAATAAAAAAAGAAATGAAACAAAGACAAAAATGTTAATGAACCTTACTTTTTAAGTTTAGAATTTATGGTTTGGTAGTCATTGTAAGGACCAATTTCTTTCACTTATTGATTTACTAGGGTAGTTGTAGGAAAGATGGCATGAAGGTAGAAATAAAGGAAAATCATCAATTAAATAACTTACAGGTCAACGAATGTAGAGTCAACGTTTCCCACCAAATTTTCATAGTCAAAAATCCCTTCATCATGTCCCTTAATCACCTATTTTGATAGCAAAAAATAATAATTAATAAAAACATACAAAAGCATAGAACAGTGAATCAAATAAATTTGTGCATTATGGTAAGGCTAGAAACTTCAGGTTTCACTAACTGAAAGGATACCTCTAACTGTAGAAGCTTGGACTCAATAAAATTGGAGTTGAACTAAGAATTCAAAGTGCGGCCAGTCCATCAGTTCACACAATTTCACATTTAGGTCAGTTGATCAAAATTCTAAAATGAAAGTTCCCCATTATCTAGGCTAATCAACTTTGACATATGGTAATCAACTTAGGATGAGTCTAGTTTTTAAGTTTTGAATTGACTGGGAGGTACTTCTATAGCTTACCTGGCCAGATCCAACACGGAAAATATAAGGTTGACCTTTCTCCAAGGAACTGGAATCAAAGATGAGAAGAATATAATAAGAACTCGATTCCCCATGCTACAGTATTAAAATAAACTCGGAATAAGAAAAAAACAACCAATTCCATTTATAAACACCAAAATAAATTAAATTATCTGCAAATTGATGATGAAAATTACCTATCAAATATTTATCCAAATGACACCATGGCAACATAATTTGCAGCAACCTGTAATTATGACAGATGGTCAGCATGCAAACAATATCCAATTTAAAAAATGGAGATAAGTCATAAGTAGAAAAAAGAAAGTTCCAAAATTGCTGTGACCAACACTAACTTGGTGTACCAAAGGTAGGGTTTTACTTAAGAGCTCGTCTTGAGCCAAACCAATCTTTGACATTCCACTTTCTTTAATTAACTTTATTTTTTATTCAAAATGTTATAGGTGCTAGCAACTTTATTGTAATTTGATTTTGTTTCTTCTGCTGGTGTCCCTTATTTACTGTACCTTTTATCGACTTAGTATGCAGGTTTAGGAAATGTCATATTTAAGTTAGATCATAGTCATAGATTTTTTAAGAAATTAAATTACAATTTTAGATATGCTGCTAGAAGCATGGAACTGATTAACTCGTCTACCATTCATTGGATTTATACATTGAAGATATTTGGAGTAGTAATAACAGTTGATGCAATGAGTGGGGTTTGTTACAATATCCTCCTCCAAATAAACCTTAGATAGAGAAGTAAACCTACAATTGGAAAAACTTAACTTTGATGGACGTTCAATGGGGAACCCTGTTCCCTCAGGGATTGGAGGTATAAAACAAAAAAGTCAAAACAAATAGTTTAATGATGAACCACCATAGTAACTCTGGTTGGTCTTATCAACATCTAATAAGGTTGAGCCTGTGCATTGATATCACATCACAAGATTGCAAAGCACATATATCAAAAAAAAGAATCAACCCAAGATAACAATAAGCTTTAGTTCAATCCTTATACAATGAGGTAACTGAAGGGATGGGAGATGCATCATATGGATGGTCGAACCCTACAGGAAGGTTGGGCGAAATTTCAAAAATTTCTCTACCCTCATCTGGGAATCTATTCCCAATTTAGAAAACTGCATTTTCAAGGTTCGTTCTTGTAACCAAATCAGACCAAATCTGAAACTAAGATTAAAGAATGATATACTTGATACGGAATCCACGCAAAAAGCTCCTCCCAACATAAGTGTTCACGCCCAAAGAGTACCAAATCCTCCCTCCACTGAAAATAACACAACTTAGGATGAGGTAGGATTAGATATGCTGCTAGAAGCATGGAACTGATTAACTCGTCTACCATTCATTGGATTTATAGATTGAAGATATTTGGAGCAGCAATAACAGTTGATGCAATGAGTGGGGTTTGTTACAATATCCTCCTCCAAATAAACCTGAGATAGAGAAGTAAACCTACAATTGGAAAAACTTAACTTTGATGGACGTTCAATGGGGAACCCTGTTCCCTTAGGGATTGGAGGTATGAAACAAAAAAGTCAAAACAAATAGTTTAATGATGAACCACCATAGTAACTCTGGTTGGTCTTATCAACATCTGATAAGGTTGAGCCTGTGCATTGATATTACATCACAAGATTGCAAAGCACATATATCAAAAAAAGGAATCAACCCAAGATAACAATAAGCTTTAGTTCAATCCTTATACAATAAAGTAATTGAAAGGATGGGAGATGCATCATATGAATGGTCGAACCCTGTAGGAAGGTTGGGCAAAATTTCAAAAATTTCTCTACCCTCATCCGAGAATCTATTCCTAATTTAGAAAATTGCATTTTCAAGGTTCGTTCTTGTAACCAAATCAGACCAAATCTGAAACCAAGATTAAGGAATGATATACTTGATACGGAATCAACGCAAAAAGCTCCTCCCAACGTAAGTATTCACGCTCAAAGAGTACCAAATCCTCCCTCCACTAAAAATAACACAGCTTAGGATGAGATAGGATCAGTAGGGTAGTTCTTCACCAAGAACTTGTGATTCTTTAGCAATAATCGAATGAGGTAGTGAGCACAGCTTCAAAATTGTTTCTTCTAGTAAGAAACAATATCAAGATCAAATCTTGATCAGATCCAAAAATTGGAGATCGAATAGGATAGGGTGGTAAGAGCAAGAAGAAAAAGAACTGAAGGCAAGATCAGTCTAATTGAGTTGTTTTCTCTCTATGTTGTATTGTGTGTCTTTTTCAGATCCGCCCTACTCTCTATTTATAGCTTTAAAGAGACAACCTCCTAATCTGATTAGGAATTTCCTGATCCAAATCTTTATTTGGATCTAGACTCTTTAAATGATAAAAATAATCCCTTATCTTATCTGCAGTTCAAGATCAATTTATTCCTAATCAAATTAGGAATTTCCTAATCCAAATCTTTATTTGGATTTGTACTCTTTAAGTGGATAAGAGTTATCCTCTTAGCATAAATAATACTCCCTCTTGATTAGCATGCACAATGCTTAATACATGTTGCTACCAAACTTCCCCCTGCTGGATAAGCATGAATAGTTGTCTAATTATAAGAAAACAGAGAACTAGCTCATACTCCTGTTGATTTGCAATTGGCAGCAATAGCCTTGGCCAAAAAGGACAATAGTTTCTCCAGTAAATATGAGGGGTTGGCCTTGTTAACATGGTATGGCCTTTTCCTAAAGTTTTCAAACTTCAAAGTAACATGGTGTTGCTACTGGCAGCTGCTACCATATGTGGCAGAACTGGACACAACCATCCTCAGATCCCTTACACAGACAACCACAATAGAGTGAAAGACTCTTTAACTACACGCCAGCTTATTTTAGGTCTTGAATCGCAATCAAGTTTGTAAACCAGACCTGCAAATTCCTTACCTATGTAAAAGCCTAAAACTAGTAGAGATGATTCAAGATTTGGTCAACTTGGCCTTTGGCTTCAGGCTTAATAACCAATAGTAGGGTTCAGATCAGTTTCGCTCATTCAATTTAACCCTTTGGTATTAGGCCAAAATTGGATTAGAAATGTACAGCCCCAAATGCAAGACCCACAATAATTATTTGAAGGTGGTAAATAAAGAAACCATGTTTAGCACTATGCAGCTTCACTATTTATTGGATTTGTACTCTTGATCCTAACCATGAGTAAAGGTGGATGATCCACTAATTACTTGGGTAGGTGGACATGATTAGGTCAAATAGTGTGGAATAAGCATCTGTCATCATTCTTGGAAGGTTAGGCAGTCAGAGGTTAGGTGAATGGGTCTCACAATCCTTTTGATTGATGAATTCACTTTTGCATTCAAAAACCATGCAGAACTGATATGATATCCACACCTCCAAGGACTGCTAATGTTTTCCTCTTGAAATTTTCTAATTAGCATGTTTCCTTTACTTTCTCTATAGTTCACCTCATGAAAAATTTCAGGGAATATTGTAACCAAACCAATAACATTTTTTTCCTATACTTTTATTTTCATTTTTTTTCTTTTGGGGGAGTGGGTGGGAAGGAGGGAAAATACACATTGATTAATTTTGGTAACTAATACTCTAATTCACTCAGTTTTCATCTATAGAAATTTCTTCAAACTTTTAGCAATAACAAAATCAACACATTGATTTTCTTTTGAATTTCTATGATGAGATTTCTGATATTTTTACATTTTCCTTATAAGTAGCAGCATTTTCATTAATAAAAATTTATGTGAAAAGGAGTGGAACAAAAAGGCATTCAGCCATGGTATTTGGAAAAGATACATGGTTAATGGTTCAAACAATATTGATAGGTTTCAATGAACATGGAGGAATTTGATAAAAACATTGCTAGGTTTCGAAAAACATATGTTTCATCTAAAAAAGAAAAATTCAGTAAAATACAGAAATTAATAAAAAATAATAAATGTATATTTCAGCCAAAAATAGTAGAAATTGCAAAAAGTACAGAAATTGATAAAAATAAAAAGAATGTATATTTGAGCCAAAAATATATTTCAGACAAAAAAAAAGAAGAAATTGCGGAAAACACAGGAATTGATAAAAAATCACAAAATATGTTTCAGACAAAAAATAGAACTTTGGAAAAAATAGAGAAATTTATTAAAAATAAAAATATTGCATTAAAAAACAGAAATTCAAAATAAACAGAGAAATTGATAAAAACATTAAAAAATGCTAACATACTAAAATACTATTTATTTACTACCAAAACAAAACAGTGAAAATCTTTCTTTCTTAGCAAGAAGTCAGTAGCTAAGTACAAATTAAAGAATTGCAAAATATGAAAATTAATATTAAATTTGAAATATTTTTTCTAATAGATAAAGAGAGAATTCATGAAGTAGAATCAGATTTATTTTGATACAAGATGCTATTGTTATCTAGAAATTCAAAATTTATGCAAATACTTAACAGTGATTCACCAAGTATATCTTCTAAACAAGAATTGTTTTCTTTGTTCTGATTCCGAAAAACTAGGTACAGATGATCCAACAAAACCAAAATACCAGATCCAAGAATTCTGGAAACAAAAAAGTCAAAATAAAAATGGAAATCAATGAAATAGTAATAAAAGAGGACCAATAAGATGCATTATTGGATAAAAAAAATAAGATGCATTATGTACATCACTGATTCTTACCGTTTCAATGGAGAGAAAAACAGTGAGCAGCGAGCAACTCAATGGTATTGGCAACAGAGTGGAGGAGGATGAAGCAACGACAATGGAGGAGAATCAATGATAGAGCTGATGACTGGATTAAGCGGAACAACAACTGAGAGAACCAACGGCGTGCAGCAAGATGATGGAGTGGAAGAGGAGAAACGCAGTGTGATTTTTGGAGAAGCAGAATGGAGTGGAGGAGGAGAAACACAGAGTAGAGAGGTGAGGAGAAAAACGGAATGGAGGAGGAGAAATGCAGAGCCGAGAGGTGAGAGGAGAAACACAGAGGCGAGATCTGGGAAAACTGTCGAAGAGACACTCTCTTGTGGGAGGCAATTTTGAGATTTTCATTTTGATCTATTTACCCTCCACTCGGAAAACCAATTTATCCGAGTATCGCAAGGGTATCGTTTACTCGGGGAACTGATACCTGAGAAAATTAAACTTAGAGTGGGTCCTACATAATTTTAAAATTCGAACTCAGTTAAATTGGTGAGTGGGATTCACACTTTCCCCCTTCACTTTACGAAAAATGAGAATGGTCAAAGGGTCTTCGGCGAAGGGTAAAATTGGATTTTAAAAATGAATACATATCACATAGTGTCACATGTGTACTAATTTTGATAGAACATTAATGAACACTAATTATAGGGAAAAGTTAGTCAATTGTTAAAAATAATAAAGATGACTTAAGACAATAATTAAACAATAAGAACACAATTGTTAATTAAATAATAAAAATAATTTAAGAAATTTGCCACTAAAAAACATTAGCAAGACTATTGTTTTTGTTTAAAGCACATTAGTGGAACGCTACTTTGTCAATATTTTACGGTCTAAAAAGCACACCAATTTATACATATAAGCACATAGTCTTCCTCTTATTCATTTATTCATCATGTCTAATATGCATGGAGCTCCAACGATTCTTTTTTTTTAATTACCATTGCTGTGTACATTGCAGGAAATCAATTTTTATCCAAGGTTGTTTTGGTCAACATGCATGAAAACTGACAAAACAACAATGATCTTATTCATCAAATTTATTGAGGATTTTAATTAGTAGAAATTTTTCTTTTTGTCCCTCAAAGTCAAGGGGTAGCCGGTACCCCATCCCCCCAATACATAACACAACCGGTTGGCACCTTGCAACTTAGATTCCTTCTTGGTATGCTGTATGCGTCAGTAGGGGTGTCAATTGGACTGGATTTGGTCCAATCCGGTCCAAATATTTTGAATCATTTTGGATCGGTTTAGAGACTGTTCAATCTGTTCAAATTTTTGTTAACTTAGATTGATTTCAATTCAAACCTGGTCCATTGGCAACTATGTTATATTGGTCCGTCCAGTCCGTCCAAGTTCAATATGTCTTATTGGTCCGTCCAATCTGTAGATTTTGATTTGGAAGTCCAACCCAAAACCGGTCCATTGACACCCCTATGCGTCAGCGTGTGATTTTTTTTCAGTGACCCACTTGTAGTGACGCTAACGTGATAAGAGCTGTTCGATCAGAATCTGCAAAGGGAACAACAACTTGTAGATCCTTGATTCTAATGTTACATTTTGCAGAACAAAGCCACGTGAAATTAAAAAAAAAAAAAAAAAAAAAAGGATAACAATGATACTATAGTTCCATATGCACACAATATCTTTACTATGTGATGTTTCTTGATTATTTTGAATGAACTGTAAGCCTATGTACTTCCGAATTTTGATGGTGCGCGTTGCAAGTAATCATCACAGTTATCACAGGCAGTCTGTGCATCACAGTATCAGCAAATGAAAGTCAAGGTACAAGTTTCCCATACCAAAAAAAAAATGAAATACTAAATAGGCAAATAATAGACGGCAAGCGAAACGGCATCCGTTAACGGAGTTCTTACCCAATCACGGGCTGCTAGGGCGCTGCCCGCCCTGTCGGTAGTGACACGTACCAATGTCTGGAGTGGACTAGGATGGTTACGGGAAATTGGGGCAGATGAAATAGAAACGGATATATTTCGGTTGTGGACTAACGGGGCAGATCAGACGAAACGCCATCAGAAACGCCATCATCTCTCTCCCTCCAGTCGTCTCTCTTCGCTTCCACTTCCAGCAGTTCAGATGATACCTCACAAAAGACCTAAAAACCCCGAACCTCAAAAACCCTAAGGGACTGGAACTATAGAACCCGTAACCAGAGAAATAATGAAGGCAACGGCCAAGAACAAGTTTCTTCTCTGCTTTCGACCGGCCGCCATGGACGACGATGCCGCCTTGAAACCGGATGGTGGGCTTCAGAGCTCTGAAGGTCTGGCTTTCGCATACATCTCTGTGACAGAGAAAGGTGATTTGATGATTCCCGCCATCTTATCTCCTCTCTGCGCCAAGGCTTCAGCGAAAGAAGAAAGCCTCGATCGTCCTCGACGGAAAATCGCTAACCGGGCCTTCTCACGGATCGTTAAAGCTGTACTTTTCGAGACGTTATTGGTTAGTGCCTTCAGAAAACGAACTTCCTTTTTCTCAGTTTCAGATCAAACCTTTCACCTTTGCGATTATTACGAGTGTGATTACGATCATAAAAATGATTCTTTTTTTTTTTCCTTTTTATCTTATCAGTTTCCACAGAAGAAGGTTCATAACGGGAAAGTTCCGCAAGATCCATATCGTTCGGATGGTAGCGTTTCAGAGAAAGATGAGAAGCTTTCGAACGCAAGGAATGAAAAATCGGTATTGGCAGGTTCACGTCGGAAACCTTGGCCTGACGTTGATCGGAAAATTAATTCGGGAGGTCCTTCCTCCTTTTCTTCCCTTCCATTTTCGTCTTCCGCTTTGATATCTTCGTCCTCGAGTTCTTCAACTTCGTGTTCTTCGTCAACGTCTTCCTGTTGGCCGATACCTGACCCGAAGAAATCGACCCGGTCGAGTTCGTTCGAGCCAAAGGAGAAAAACCGGGTCGTCCAGTCGAAACAGATCGATTTCCAACAATTTCCTGGAAAAACTACAAGAGCAGAACCGACTACTAGATATAGCAGTACTTATAGCTCTGGACTGTATTTGCTCCTCATCAGCCTCTTCTTCATGGTCTTCTGGGGTCGGCTATGCGCGATACTCCTTACGTCCACGTGGCTTTACCTGGTGCCTCGTTGGCGTTCTGACAACGACGAAGTCCAAACCCAACCGAAAAATGCGATGTCGACGAAGTGGTCACCGGAGCTTGATTCAAAGGAATACAAGAAGAAAGTAATCATGGAGGGTCTGTTGGAAAGAAACCACCACCACCGCGTTTGGAGTTTTCACGGGCAATAAATTTTGGCGTGAAAATTCCTTTGGTGTCGGATTTATACGTTGTCTCTGTGTTTTGTAAGTTTTTGTATTTAAAAGCCATTAACAACTTCTTTTAATTTTCTTGTTTTTCTCTTTTTGTTCCCAGAGAAATGAAAGTTATACAAGCAACAGTTTACTCGGATTATAGTACAAAGAAATTAAGAATACAATACAGAAACCTTGTTTTTTGAGTGATTCATTATTTCATTCATGACAACAACGCAATCTCCTCGAGCTATGCATGGTCTTTTGTTCAGTTTGAATTTTCTCATCAATTTACTGTTTGCTTCTGGTGACTCTATCTGTTAGCCATTGGTGACAAATTTGAATATTAATGACCCCTTTTCTTTCGGTAGGGCTGTGACCAGTGGTTGGTCATTAAAAGGAGAGAGAGAAGAGAGAGTTTGGCCTAAAAAATGAAAAGTGCGCTTTTACTATAATAATGCACGCGCACTGGGTCATGGATTTAGTGTCCAAAAGCTCGAACTATGGTGATGTTAATCATGAAGATGATAATGCTTAATTTGGGTTCAGCTTTTGATTTAATTGCTCATGGTGAATGAAAGATTTAGAGCAAAGTACTAGCTTTTAGGAAGCAAGATATGCTTCACTGCTTCCTTTCCCTGTACGTAGATGATTTGCTTTTCAGTGATGAAACGTGCTTTGGCTGCATCTGCCTCTTACTTGGCGATGAAGAACTCCCTTTTGGGTTTCTTTATTAATTTGATAATGCTTGTTGAGCATTGAAAAATAATTTTGTTTGTTGTGATTCCTAAGGCCTTAAATTATATCTTAATCCACACTGCTTCTTTCCAAATATTTTCTGAAATCTGCACTAAATGATTCAAGTAAATTATTATATTATAAAACTTTGTGCTTAACTTTTATATAAGGAATAAAAATAATAATATTATAATCTACTTTTTATTAGTTTAGGAATGAAATCAAAAGATGTGGTCTGCAAGATGTTCAAATATGAAAGCATTAATTAGGTAAATAAAATGCCTTTAATGCTTTCTTTATTGAATAGGATGGATACTGTTTCTGAAAACATCATTAGTATCTGCATTTAAAATTGGAAGCTCAATTTTTTACGATTTTTCTTTGAGTACTCAGGTGAGTTGCCATGTGGACAGTGGTGGGTTAGTCCTCAAATGTACCTCGTGAAGCTCGTCCAATGCTCGTGAATTTAAGATTCATGAGATGCCATCTATTTTGGATAGAGTTACTTTTTGATGGTTAGATTAAAAAAAAGCCAAATGGGATTATCTTATTCAGTCTTGTGACTCAAAGAAGATTTATAGACGGATAGAAGAAAGGAGAGAACTTTATGTGTTGTGCTTTACTGCATAAAATAAAAGGAGAAAGGGACGTGCTGAACAATAACTAACATAAGGGTTGGATTTCTTTTTGCATGAATATGTTTGGTTCCTTGCATTTTCTGGGAAAATCAAAATTATCTTCCCTACATCCCATCATTGCCGTTTTCAGGAACCAATTATGAGTTATAACATTTACTTTTTCTTTGTTGTTTTGTTCTTGTCTTCTGGTCAAGTGTCCATTTACCAAAACCCTTTTCTTCAACTTTATTTATTGAAGCTAATTATTTGGAATAAATTTGGAGTCCATTCATATTTAGAGCCAGGTGCATGAAGAGTTAGGGGTGCAGATCAAAAAATGATTTTGATGAAAGTAATAAGAAATGATTTAAGTTTATAATATGTTGATGAGATTTAAACAGAATAATAAAATGGTGAAACAGGATTCATGTATCAGACTTCATATATAATTGAAACAAGGCTTAGATGATGTTAATGATCCATCCCATTATATTTATGTTCAAGTGATAAAGCTTGGCTTTTAAAAAAGAAGTATTAAAATTTGATAATAGATATGGCGCTAAACAGAATGGAATGATGAAACAGGATATATTTATAGAGCAGACAATAATGATCCTTAATTACCAAAATATATATGTTTAAAGTAGTATATAAGTAGCACAGTCTTGAGATGCTTGAGACTGGACCCATGCATGATGGATGATCGATCGTGGTCAGGGCGGTCCAAGCACCAGTCTGCAAATTTTATCAGTGAAGGCTGATTGTTTCATAAATGTACAAAATAATTGGCTTTGAAGATGTGAGCTCAATTGGTTGTTTTTTACTCTTTAAGCAGCGTCAGCGTCAGATTATAAATGTATACATACATACATACATCTGTATGTAGCCATTAGATTAATCCTCCGTTAGATATGTACCAGAGCTGCAAACCTTTCAGGTCCATACAACTCAGACTTGGATTGGACCGGAAATGTGAGTATATTTTGTCTTACATATTTAATAATGAACCCATCAAATTTTGACATATATATATAGCCACATTTGTCAACTGGATGGTATATGGCACTAGACTAACCATTTAGTCGTCCGAAAGAAGTGCATAGAAGCTGAAGCCTTTTCTCTCTCTGCAGTACAAGACTGGATTATGGATATTCTTCTCCAGAGTTTGCACTAGACTACTGAAGGAGCATCCAATGCTACAATATTCGCTCGAGAACAGAATGAGGCAGACCTAGTAGTCCTTTCCCACAGTTAAAACAAAATACCAAACAAGAAACGACAAAATAGTTTAACACAAGATAAATAGAGGTCGGAGGTCCCAGCAAATCCAATGCGCATCCCAACTCTTCACAAGCTAGCTAAGCTACGTCCCATATAGATTTCCCAGTGATTCTGATATATACATATATGTAATCTTGATTCTGCTCTATTCGCTGTTGAGTGTCCAAACACAAATTGCAGATTTCATGCACCAATTAATGCTTCATTAAAATAAGATAGATAATAATTACACCGACCAAAATAAATAAAAGAAAAGAAAGGATAGCAACCTTTTTACTTCAATTGAAGCATATTAGTAAATGCTTAAAATGACTTATTTGTAACTTAAAGGTTATAGAGCTTCGTTGTTGACTTGTTGACAGGTCCGAATGTCCAACCAACGATAACTCTACCCACACGTTTATCCACATGAGATCGCAACAGTAGATGGAGAACATCTCACGCCCTTCCTTACATGGTTTTATTCTCGTCTAATTCTACGGAATTCAAAGTCCTCTCAGAAAATGGAATCCGGATACTTGTCGAATTTGTCTCCCCATATAAGCCGATATTCGAATTTGTCTCCCCATATAAGCCGATATTCGGTTAATTGAAAATTTGTCTCCCCAGATTCAAACACTAATAGTGTTCACTCTCAAATCAGTATGGATCTTCAACCAGTTCAGAAATGGATCAAGCTTCCTACTGGAGTCATTAAAATTAATACAGATGGGGCGTGGAGTGCTTCTCGCTCGGCTTTTGGAATTGTTATCAGATATCACAATGGCTATTTCATATTGGGTAGATGTGCTCTCCTCCATTGTTCTTCCCCGACAGAAGCTGAAGCCTTAACAATTTTGGAAGGTCTGAAGTGTGCCATTGCAATGGACCTTGTGGCTCTCATCATTGAAAGTGATGTAAAATACATCATCGGCATGCTCTTTTCGGATGCAAACCCTCCCTGGAGATTACATAATACTATTCTAGAATGTAGGCATCTTGCTTCTGGCTTTGTATCAACCAGTTTTATTCATACATCTCGATATTATAATCGCTTAGCCCACGGGCTAACAAATCATACTGTCAAATACAATCATGCTATGCCTTGGTCGACTCCTCCAGATTTCATCATGTCTATATTTCTAGATGGGATGTAACCTATTGTTTTGAAATAATTTTTTGCCTCTCTAGGCTTCAAAAAAATCAGTCCTCATCTGTTTGGTGCGCAACATTAAAATGGGTATGGGCCCTTTGATCCTTTATTATTGGTTGGGTCCAACCGTCCAAGATTTTGAGACCAGACATATTGGACCTAATAAATTCGTTCTCCATATAGATTTTCTACGATGTATGCAAAGTGGATAATGTGCTCACGTGCTTCATCTCACGTCCATTCCTATCAGCAATTATATCATATGAGAGGTGATTGTACTGATCATGTTTTATTGAATGAAATGGCATTGCCTTAGGGCCTCAACCTTTTTCGCTACCGGAGATCATGGTTTTGAAAACCGGACAAGATGATCAGACTGTTGACCGAAGAATAAGCAACTACTTTCATTTTGTCCTAAAACCGTTTCTAAGCTAAAAAATTGTTGAATCGGTCAATAATTCGTTGATCTGGCCAATCGAAGACCCATTGACCCAATCAAACAACAGGTTTTAGTATTTTTTTGTTTTAATTATTTTTTTTTAATTTTTTAATTTTTTAAATTAGAATAGACTATTCGTTTCGAATTAAACGGTCAAATTGTTTGACCTGAAAACCAATGGCCAAAAGAGTTTCGTGTCCAGTCCAATTTTTAAAACTTTGCCGGAGACCATGTCTTAAAGCCAGTTAACGATGGTTCTGCCTAATAAATTCCACTATATTAGTCTTATTTGTTGTCACCTAAGGAGATTGGCTTTGGTCAGGGCAAGCCAGTGTGAAGTCCCAACAGCCTCTTATAACTTTGCATCAAGAATATCTCTCCATAAAATAAAATACATAAGTGGGGAGATATTCTTGGTTTTCAAAAGTTACATCACTAATGAAATCCTAAGTATTTGCGAGTTGTAACTAAACCAGATATCCTATTCAATTTCTTTATCTGTGCCCTATAGAACACTTCAGCCACACATCTTACAACATGAGAGGAAGGCGAGTAGAGTGTGGGCAAGAAATCCAGGGCCCGTCTGGCATATCTTTCCGTACAGTCTTTCAGCTGTTTACAAGCCAGATAAACCGATTTTCGGTCTATTCCTGTTTGATTCGTGGAAGATCTAACCGTCAAAAGTTGAAGCGCCAAAAAGACGTGAGAAGCCCATTTTGGGCTGATTTCAGGAAGCTCTAAATGAAGCTTTTTGCGTCTTTGCGTTTTATTCTAGCGCGGAAAGACACTAAAAGATGTGATACTACCAAACTATGTTCGGGCTGCTCAGATCTTCATGAAAAAGCTCAATGCGTCTTTTGACTGTCAGAACTACTAGAAGATCTTCCCAAAAAGAC